ATATATATATGTAAAAGAAAGGAAACGTGCAGGTGCACGTTTCCTCAAAAAAAAAAAAAAGCGAGAAGTGGGAGGAAACGTGCTTTCCTCACCATGAGAAAAAAGAGAATGTGCGGCTGCACATTAACTAAGAAGAAGAGAAATTAGTCCGGTAGTTTTTGCCACACAGAGAGAAACAAAAGGTTTTTTTCCAGAGAAAAGGAAAAAGGAAAAACGGGAGAACAAAAGAAAAACCAAAGAAAATTTCTTAAGTGTCATCACATACTTTTGAGAAAAGTGAGTGATAACTATATGTGGCTTTTCTATTCATTCATCTCATGTGTTGAGAAACTCATTAGAACGCCCACACGTTCGAGTTCACGTTAATCCAGAGATACGTTGAAAAAGAACTGTGGTGTTCTTGAAATTTAAGAGCTTAAGACAATGTTGGAGGAGTTTAAGATTTACGTCCTAATCGAGTAACGGTAAAATTCTCATTCTTCTCTTTAATATCTTTGTAGTTAAATTAACATGAAATAATGATCGCATTAAATTTTAATTTATGTGATTCAATTGATATCACGCTTCCGCATAATTTTTTTTGAAAATCCGGAACAAGGAAAACTTCGACCACGCCACGCGGAATACAAACACTTTAGCTTGTTCATTTTGTTTGTTTTTTTTTATTATTTATTGTTTTTTTATTTAAGATTTGAAATTGAATAATGCTTCAGAAATATTCATCGTGAGGGCCATATTATAACATTATAAAATTGAATTATTCATAAGAAAAAACATGTCAAACCTGAATCGATGAAAGTCAACGTGCTATTTTGTTTTATTAAAATCCTTGCTTTGTTGGCGTACAGAATTCACAAAAACTCGTATTTGGTGGATCAAACATGACAAAATCACGAGAAAACTCTGGTTAAAAGCCTAAATCGTACAGCTTTTTTCTTATGTTGAGCTTTTGATGTTTATACTGGTGATTTAGCTAGAAAAATAAACATACAGAATCCACGTACATTTTGTCCAAATTTTCTTCTAGCATTTGACTAATGCTTGATAATGATTTAACTAGTCAAACAATTCCCTGAACTTTCATTGTTACATCCTCACATATATACATATACATATATATATATATATATATATATATTCAAATTCAGTTCCTTTCATTGTTACATAAAATGAATATTCATTGAACCATCCTCTTTCCGGCTTAGAAGACCAAAGAAGGGGTTTGTGATGGCGGACTTCAATTCCGAACCAGCTGAGTTTAACACTGCGATTTTAACCTTATCGCGAGGAAGATACAAAAACTCTCCCCCTTCTGTTGTTCTCTCGAACCCACAGAGCTCTAGAAACTCAACACCTCCTTTCAAACTACCAACTCTCTCCTGCCATATTCAATATTGAGAAAAATAAAAAATAAAAAAAAAAGACCAAAACAGAACATTTATAAGCTTGACCATAAAACATCGTTCTATTTGGGATTAAATTCTACCTGAAATAATGGATTATTCATTCTGATCTTCCGATATTTCTCTTCGTTAGGATTCCTTGCGACGTTTCCCACATAAATCAACAAAGCTTGGAAGGCTCTTCTAACTCTGGCATCATCATTCTAGAGAGTAAACCAAACCAACAAAATAATTAGGAAAGCGCAAAAGTAAATGAAATCCACTGTAGAAGCTAGATGATTATGCTATTGCATTTCTGCAATAGTAAACACAAAGATAAGTGTCGTTTACCATATAATTGCGCTTAAGAGACCTTAAACACTCTCTCATTAGCTCAGCCTTCGTAAAAGACTTGACAGGAAATGAGCTCTGGAACTCAGAGTAGTAAAACAACACTAATTATGAAAGATCCTACATTATCAGATATATAGGATTATTTTCAATCTTTACTAACAATACTATTACCTGTTTTTCCTGCTCGTCAGTAGTAGAAGTTTTAGTAGCTGCAAGGTTCTTTGGTGCCATTGCAAGCTTACTCCTTCTCTCTAACTGTAAACCCATGCATGTAACTTTGAGTTGAGACTTACACAAAAAGTATTGCAGATATAATAATAGAACTCGAAATTTAAATAAAAAAAAAAGAAAAATACAAGCACCTTATCTTGTTCCAGTTTCCAGCGAATTTTCTCTCTTGCTCTTTTCTCTTCCTCTTTCTCTAATTGCCTCAAGGCTAAATTACTGTAAGGGAAAGTGTTTTTTCATTTCTATCTTTCGAAAGGAGAAATATGGAAACTGAAGATCAACATGCACGTGGTAAAATATTGGATCAAGACAGACCGTTTTCTTTCATTTTCTTCTGCAATTCTCTTCGCTTCAATGAGTTCTTTACCTGATCGAATCCTCACCTGAAGCAACAACTTAAAATCTATTATCTAGATCTCAGAAAGTTTTTTTTTTAAAAAAAAGAAAAAAGAAAAAAGAAAAAGAAACAATATTGGACACTGGAACACGCATCGAAATTGTTAAAAAAAAAAAAAAAAAAAAAAAAAAAAAAAAAAACCTTCAAGGTCGAAATTAGAATTTTTTTTTTTTTTCCCAGAAGAAGGGGGAAAAAAGATTTCAACAGGAGAGGAAAACCGCATGTATATATACCTTCTCCTTTTCTCGTTCCAATCTCTTTTCTTCTTCTTCCTTCTTGATTCGTGCTCGGTCCCTGAAGCACAGCCAAAAAAAGAAAAAAAAAAAGCGAATGTTAATTCATTGTTGTAATAAAAACCAGTAAACCAGAAGACTATATAAGAAAGAGAGTAGATTGCAACCATAATAGCTGTGCTTTTCTTTCCATCTCTTCTGTCATATGAAAAGTCTCATCTGAATCAATTCCAATATCAATTGTTTCCTATAAGAAAGCGATCACAGTAGTATTATACCTGATAAGAAAAGGAATGTACAACGCATAAGGATAGTCTAAGCTAAGGAATAATACCAAGGGCATCTGATCAATGTCGGCGTCGTTTTCATGATCAACTATCCAATTCACAGCATCTTCTATACTAATATTACCTGATCATAAAAAAGAGAAGGAATATATAAATATATATATATATATATAATGGATGAGTTTTTAATGAAGTAACATCTTCTTCTAATGAGCATTTAAAAATAAATAAATAAATAGAGGCTGACCAGAATAATGAAGTGCACGTGTCGCCCGAGCTAGTGGAAATCCCATTGATTCAAGTTCTCCAAGCAAATTCTCGTTTACTTTCGGAACAGCCATTTCTGTATGAAAACACCACGCACAGCTATAAACTATAAACCCCAGATATTAGCTTTAAAAAAAAAAAAATTTGTCCGATTACTTTAGTTTCAAACCCTTACCGAATTTTGAAGGCCGTCGAGGTTTGATGTTCTTGTTCTCTGAATCTAAACGCTGTAAAATCCGAGAATATTTTAGAATGGAGCGCCATTTAGATATATACTTGGCCAATCAAACCAACAGAAGTCAGAAATCCAACGCACTTTCTGGTTTCTGCTGATTCTTTTCCCTCTCCGTGAGGCTTCTTATATATACTTTTCGGTTCTCAGGCACTCAAGGAAGAAATAAAATAAAAATAAAAATAAAATAAACGAAGGGAAAATGCAGAGAATAGCATATTTCATACCCTCTATTGAAGTAAATACCATTTTTAGTAAATTATGATGTATTCCCGTAATTCATTTTAAAATAATAACTCGTTTCCAAATTTACCCTTCTAGTGTGATTCAGACTTCTTTCGATTTTTTCTCTCTTCTGCCTTTCTCTAGTCTCTCTTTGTTGAGCTTCACCGCCGCCTCTCTCCTCTCTTTCTCCGGCGGTTGCCGTTGCTAAGAACCAGGTCGCTGCTGCAAACCAAACTCCGACAAGATGTCGTCGCAAACTAGATCTGTGAACTGCGAAGACCAGAGAATGTTGCACAACACCCGATGGATCTTGGCTAAGATCGGCTGCCGTTGGAGATCGCGATTCGCAATTCTCGTGGCCAGAGAACGTCGTACAACACAAGGACGGATCTTTGCCAAGATCAGTCGTCGTTGGAGATCGTGATCCGCCATTATTGCAAACCACCGTTCGTGATCAATAGAGATCGTTGTTCGGCAGCGTCTCTCTTTCTCTCACCGCCGCCTCCGCAGCCCTCTCTCTCTCAAATTTGAGGACAGCATCGTTCCTATGGCTTTTTATTTTTAAGATCTTCGTCGCAGCGCGGATCTTCGCGCGTTCGTCGTCATCGGAGGAAATGGCAGATCTAGTAATGGCGTTTAGCAGACAAACACTATCCATTACAATCCGTTTCTTAAAGCTAAAGATTTTTGTGCAGAGGGTTGTTGACTTAGATACCCACTACTTAAAGGTCAATATTCCTCTTTAATCTATTTTGTCATTTCACTGGACTATTTCTGTCGTTTTGACATTTTCTTAAATTTGTTGGACATTTTGTTATCCACGATTATCTACCATAACCAACGGAGAAGAGCAAATCATTTTAATTTAAAAGTAGAAAGAACAACTCTAATGATTATACTGTTAAAAATGTATAGGAATTTCTTGAGGAATATGTTGGGTGCATGGATTGTTTGTGCATTTAATATTGAATATGTTAAAAAAGTGGGTTTCTAATGTGACTGAAGACATTCTTTGGATTTTTTGAGGATTAATAGTGAATACAACATCTAAGATATGTAGGCTGTATTCAGCGGTCTCAAAAACTCAAAAAAAAAGTAATTTGAGTTATAATTCTATTTAAATTTATGTTTTTTTAAATTTGAACTTAAGTTTGAATTCGAGTTTGAGATTAAAACTTAAGTTCAAGTTTCCCCTTCAACTCGAGTTTAGAAACTCAAACTCAAATTAATGAACAGTATTTTTTATATTTTTAAAAATGTTATAATTTTTTCGTTTTAATCATAATTAAGATGATTTTTTTCTATGCGTTGACAATGAAAAGAAGAATAAAATCCCACCTATATACCCTATTAAAATTTTTCATCATCATTGAGTTTTTATTAAAATACTATCTAAATACAAATTCAAGTTTTGACTCACTTAAATACAAACTCAAAAAGATTTTTATCTCAAATCATAACTCAAATGTACACAACTAAACACAAACTCAAGTTACAACTTCAACTCAAGTTATAACTCAAGCTCAACTCAAGATCTTCACTCAATAATGCCTAACTCAAAAATGTAAAATAACAACCCCGTAGTTTCAAAAATTTTTGTTTGTGAGATTTGCAAAAAAAAGAAAAAAAATATATATATATATATATGTATATATAAATTAGCATTTGTTTGTGTTTGTGTTTGAATTTTGGTTAATATTGTATTTACTAGTAAATATTTTAATAGCTAATTAATACTGTAGTAATTACAAGTTTAAATCTGGTAAATATAGTATTTACCCGTAAATACTTTAGTAATTACAATTTTGAATATGGTAAATATTGTATTTATCTATAAATACTTTAATAGTTTCAATTTAGAATATGATAAATATTGTAAATATGATAATTAATGTGTTTACTAGTAAATACTTTAGCCCCTTTTGTTTCAACAACTCAAGCTGTTGTTTAAAATTCAAACTTTAGTTCATGAATTCAAATTGGTGTTTGAGAGAGGAAAATTAAAGGACAATTCAAACCATTAACAACAGTTCAAGGACAACTTAAATTGTTGATTTTAGAATTCACCTCCCTCTTAAATTCTAACAATTCAAATTATTGTCAACAGTCTAATAGTTTCAAATTTTACTTTTTCTCTCTCTTCAATTTTAATCTTAAAAATGTCATAACTTCTTCGTTTTAATTCCGATTTAGATGATTTTTTAATGTGTTCATAATAAAGAGAGGAACAAATCCCCACCCATATTGCATATTTTTTAATGTCATTTATAATGAGTTTTTATAAGATTTGTTACAAAACTATAACGATAATTTTCAACACTTTATCTAAACACAGTTCGGATTTTATTCAAAATTTAAATTACAATTTATTTACATATCCAAACAACAATTCGAATCACAATTTGAATCACCACTATTCAGATTCTACAGTTCTAACCAAAAAGGTTTAAATCTCCACATATTAAGTTGTTGAAACAAACAAGCCTTTAGTAGTTTATAATTTGGAATTTGGAATTTGGTATATATTATATTTACGAGTAAATACGATATTTACCGGTAAATACAATGATTTAACGGTCACCAGAATCGGTAGCCAGATCTTCAGATAAATATAATATTTATTAGTAAATACGGTATTTTCAGGTAAATACAGTGTTAAACGATCACCAAAATCGGTGGTCAGATTTTCAGATAAATATGATATTTTACTAGTAAATAAAGTTTTTACTCATAAATACAGTGTTAAACAGTTGTCAGAGTAAGTGGTCAAATTTTCAAATAAATATGAAATTTATTAGTGAATACGATATTTATTGGTAAATACGGTATTTACCGGTAAATACAGTGTTAAACGGTCGTCGAATTCGGTGCCTAAATTTTCGGATAAATATATTTACTAGTAATTACAGTATTTACAGGTAAATACAATATTTACTAGTAAATAAACTCTTAAACAGTCGCTGGAGTCGGTGCTCAAATTTTTTAATAAATATGATATTTACTAATAAATACGGTATTTACTAGTAAATACAATGTTAAACGGTCGATGCAGTCGGTGCCCAAATTTTTAAATAAATATGATATTTACTAGTAAATATTGTATTTACCAGTAAATACAGTGTTAAACGATCACCAGAGTTGGCAGCCGGATTTTCAGAGAAATATGATATTTACTAGTAAATACAATATTACGGTATTTACTTGTAAATACAGTGTTAAACGGTCATCAGAGTCAGTGGTCGGCTTTTCAGGTAAATATGACATTAAATAGTAAATACGGTATTTACCGGTAAATACAGTGTTAAACGGTCATCAGACTACTCTCACCGTTTGCCGAAACTAATCCCTGAAGTTGGCGGCTAGCCGTCGGTTTTGGCCATAGTGGACTTGACTATAATCTACCTATTTTAAAAAATATGCTATAATTTACTATTTTTTTAAAAATAAATATTTATGAGGAAAGAGAGATAAAAATGGAGGTTTAAATGTATTTTTAAGTTTAATAATGTTTAAAACTAAAAATATTTACTATTTTTAAATATTTTATAATTTACTAATCAATTTACCAATTGCTCCTTTTAATTCTCCGTATGGGCCTGGGCTTTCAAGTAAAAAGCCCAATTCTCAATTCCGCTTAAGTCAGGCCAGCCACACAGCCCACTAACTAATTCTGAAAAAAAAAAAAAAAGTTTTTTAAGACACTTCGAGAAACAGTTGGAACCAAAACCAGAAGACAGTCGAAGAGAGCTAGCTACCGATCACAAAAGAAGATTTCTACTGTCACAACAGTGGAAGAGGCTAGAGAGAGAGAGAGAGAGAGAGAGAGAGAGGCTAGAGAGAGAGAGAGAGAGAGAGAGATGTCGGCGAGCAAAGCGAGGAGGATCAAGCTGTACTGTCCGCCGGTGAAGAAGATGATTGAGATGGTGGCGTGGGAGGAGCAGAGACTGGACCTGGGCTCCATAGCGCTGGCGTTTGGGCTGGACCCGTCCACGTTGAAGCTCAACGGTCACTTCATCAGCCGAGGCCTCGACCTCATCTCTTCCTCCGTCACTTGGAAGTCCCTTCTTTCTTTCTTCTCTGCCAAACGGCTCTCCACTGGGAGAGACGACCATGACGCGCTTATCGTCGATGGAAAACTCTCCAGAGTCGGGACCAAGAGTAAGACCAATATTTAGATAATTTATATTTTTCCTTTTTTGGGGGAAAAAAAAAGTTACTTGATTACGATTGAATTCTTTGTTTGCAGGAGCACATGATCCCAAGGATGCTGTAAATGGTATTCTTGACTCTGCGAGTGTTCCTCGAGAAATGGGCAACAGTGGGGCACCAGCAACGGAAGATACAAATTTGGTGAAGAGTAAGAAGATTAGGGAAGGCAATTCAGGTTGACACTTAGCTTCATTGGAGATAGTCGATTGGAAATTGTGTAGTGGAACAATAATAATCAGTATGAATTAGCTTTTTTTTTTTTTTTTTTTTTTTAAATCTATTTAAGGTAAAAACGGCGATTGTGGAATGTCTTTGCTGTACAACGGCATTCGCCTGAAGAGAAAGCAGTTATTGGAAGACTTGAGCCTACTCAAAAAGCTAAGGATAAACGAAACATGTTCCGCAGGTATATTAGCATGTCTCGGTTTATGAACCCATTAATTATCTCTATATATGTTCGTTTACATAAGCATTATCTTTGATCTTATAGTAGTCCTCTTTATCAGATATTACAGGAAAGGGTAATGACTTGTCAAGAAGCATTTCAAGTTCAACCTGCAATCTAAGATGCAGTCCCATGAGTCAAAATATGAAGCGGACGAGGGAAGATGATGTAGATGACGCAATCCTGGCCGCTCCTTACAAGAAGATTAGATGAACCCTCCTTTTTTTTTTTTTTTTTTTTTGTTCTTCTTGTTTCCTTGTTTGTGTTCCCCAAATACTTTTTCTTCTTATCTCCACTTCTAAATCGTGAGAGTTACTGTAGAAGAGTTCTGAAAACAACCATTTGTCAAATCTTGCACAATAAAGCAGACTGAAAGTTGAAATCTCCTGAAGAAATTCTTTTTTGGAAATCAGTGTACCCTACTCGTGTAAAATTAGGGCCCTAGATTTCAAACTGAAAACGCATATTGTACGGTAAAATCAGCCAGCTGGTTCACAAGTGTTGTCATTCCAAATAGAAATGCCAAACAATAGCAATTCCAGCTACTAGCACAACTTTTAGAATTAACTTTGAACTGATGAAGGACGACGACGTCGACGTCGGTGATTGAGGTGTTTCCAATGGTCTCCCTGTAAGCTTGGCAGACAACTTCGATAGAAACTGAGATATTGGACCGCCTTTCTTGGCATCTGCAAACAAACATCAGAAACCAGGAAGAGTAAGCCAGTGAAATTACAAAACTAATGCAAAAGGGAAATCTAACTACATGGATAAACATAGTCCTCGGAGGGGAAAGAGGAAAACAAAAAAATAAAAAACAAAAAATAAAAAGCAAAAACAAAAACAAAAAACCACCACCTAGGATGAGAACCATAGATACAGAAGATATTGATCAATACAGAAGGAGAATCTTGATAAACTACATTGGTAGGACCGTGAGAAATCTTGTTTCCTTACATTGGAAAGGAATCTTTGTAAAAATGAATCTATAGTATTCTACTTAAAAGAGGAAGAACATATACCTTTGCTCTTAAGAAACCTTTCCTCCTCACCAACACGACGGCGAAGTACATTTAGTAAAGATCCAAAATACAATGCAAATATTGTGCATGTAATGGTGATGACGTTGTAAGGCATGCTAAAATCGGGAGTGGTCAAAGGGACAAGTAAAACTTCCGTGTAAGACACAACAGAATTGTTTTCCTACATCACAAAGGCATAAACAAAGTAAATAAACAAATGACAAGAAAAACAGAACACAGAAGTCACTGACAGAAGAATTCGATTCACCTGAAATTTGGCCAAAATGGGCAAGGCCTCCAAAGATTTATCGTCCCCAAACTGAGTGCTTGAATAGAAGTCAGGATAGCTTATCACAGCTGATGGGATGTCAAAACCCTGATTAGCATCTGGAGGATATTCATCAATATGCAAAAAGCCCTGAAAAGATGTTATGAGGAAAATCTTTAGTAAGAACAACAGTCATAAAGAAGGAAACTAGAGACGTTTAAATTTTAGCTAGTGTGATAAAATTAGACTCAAATTCTTGATTAGTCCAAACAAAAGCTATAAAATGAAAAATATTGCAAAACATACCTTATCAAACTCTAAAGTTGCAACAGCTGATTTCATTCTACAAGGGAACTTTAAGATCATTTCCATCATCCCAGGTGACACCTTGTCTTCAGAAGGCGAAACATGTATCTTATCAACAACATCTGAAATGGCTTGTTGCTGTTCATCCACATACACTTGCAGGGTATGATAATACACCTTTATATACCAAGGTACGACTTGAAAAATCTTAACCGGTAACTCGCAACTATCAATCGCATCAGAATGCAATAGCCACTCGCTCAATCTTGTGGACTCAAATGATATTGCAATAGCACCCCTTTCGTTCCCACTTCCCATCAAGAATCTACTAGCATGTAATGGGGCTTGCTGACATGACCAAGCTACAGGAATCTTCCACGTTAGGCCTAAATCAAATGGCTCAGACTCGCTGTGCTTCTCAACTGAAAATACATACAGAAGAGATGGGCTTGTCCCATGAGAGCCATTCACTTCCTCCAATACCTTATCAGGCTCAACAGACAATTGAAATCCATAACCACTTCTTAAACCTTCATAATTTACATTCTCAGCAACGGCAATTTCATTGTGCTTCTGCAGGTTTTTCAGTTCAGCAACTAGATCCCTGTCAAGTTGAAGATACACAGTACTAGACTTGGCAAGAACACAACTTCCACTGACCTTCCTCCCGAAAATTGAGGTCAAAGACCAACTCGGTTGAAACTTTGTCTCCAGGCTCGTCACAGGAGTTCTCTTTTCATTAGGCTGCAATACAACAGTGAGTGTTTGCTGAAGTACAATGCCTGAATCTACGCCATCCGAATCAAACCCCTTCCCCGTCAAATGCAACCGCTGCGAATGATAAAATCCTTTATAGATAGAAGGCCTATCCATCAACGCAGAAATTCCCGCTTTATCTCTACAAGGAAGGAGCTTTAGCCATGGAGTCAGGTTCTCAGTACAAACAGCTTCCCGAGGCAATGTGCCATATCTCAGATTGCCCGAAGCGGAGTGAAACCCCCATTGAGGAGCAGAATAAGAGGTGGAGGATTCTAGAAAGTTGATTGAAGCACAAAAGAGACCAGAAAGCGCATGAGTCAAATTCTTCCATGAAGCATCAACTTGATAGTGAGGAACATCAAAGACGGCCCACAATTCAACTCCTGGTGGTTTGGCATTATTGCTTGGAACAGGGTCGAACCCACCCCAACGTTCATAGTTCCAACGACCTTGTGTGAAAGATAATTCCATTTCTTTTATTCTGAATTTCTGAACCTGTCCATATTGGAACACTATTCTACAAGTTATTAATTAAAAACTTTACAAAAATACCAAAAATACACTCATGAATTTCTAGGGTTTAATAAAAAATGCAAAATTTTCTCCCCTCAGTAATAACGAAATGGAAATCGCGATCTTTTTAACTTCAATTAGACAAAAATGGAAATAATAACGAGATCCAAGATTTGATTGTTTCTTTTTCTTGTCTCTGTTCGATAGATTTTCTTAGAAATTGATGGGAAGAGAAGAGGCGAAAGCCACATACCAGCTGAGAAATGGCTTTGGGGAAAAGGTGGTGGTGGCGGCCATTGGAGGCGGTCGGAGGAGCTCTGGTCTCGAAGTGGAAGTGGGCGAGAACCTTCCGATCTGGCAAAGGTCTCAGCAGCAACTCCTCCGAGAATTCTTCTTCGTCAGTGACGGATCCGAGGGCGGCGTTGGAGTAAAAGAATCGACAGAAGAGTATCAGATAGAGCAAGAGAAACTGCCTGAGAGGACGAACGGCCATTCTGGTGGGGTGGGAGCGACTAAGAGTCTAGGAGTGTGTGTGCCTGACTGACTCTGCAGCTATACGGAGTCGATGGGAAACTCAGAGTCCGCCATGAGAGCAGAGAGCTGAAAGATGGTTTAACGAAAGTTTAGTAGGGTTGTTTTCTCAAAAATAAATAAATAAATAATAAATAAAACTAAAAGAAAAACTACAAAAATTAGAAGGTTTTCTATTCTTGAATCGTTAGATTTATATCAAAATTGTGTTATATAACCTACCGGAAAAGTTTTTAGGTAAATTGTTAATCTATCCCCGAAAACTATTAGGTGACGATTTGGTTATGATATTCTTTAATTCATTAAAATGCCTCCAAAATGGCCAAATTAACTAAATAAAATGCTCAGTGATGGTGTTACGTGCGGTAAAGTTCTCATCTTATTTTTGTACCCTTTTCAACAATTTGGGGACATTTTTAATGAAAAAAATAATAATCGGGAACTAAATCGTCATCTAATTAATACTTTAGGACAAAGTTTAATTTACTCACAACTTTAAATTGGCTTGGATGGAAAACTGTGTCGTTTTTGCTTTCCCTTTTGTTTTGCAAATGGTATGTCGTTTCTCACTTACAAAAAATAGCATGGTCTGTTAGTCGTCGGTCTTCATATCATAAAACAACATCGTATCGTTTAAATTCCAGAGGCGCGACTTTTCTTCATTTCCAAGAAAGGAAGTCAATATATACTGTGTTTTCTTTTTCTCCAAACTTTGAACTGTCTGGAAAACAGTGTTGTTTTTACTTTCCCCTTTTTTTTTTTCTTTTTTTTTTTTGGCAAATGGCATGTCGTTTCTGGAATGCAACGACATGTAGCTTGAGTAGACATTTCTACTAACGACACGTCGTTTCTCAGCTGTAAAAAAATATGTGTCGTTTGTTGGGTTTCATTTCATGAAACAACATCGTGTCGTTTGTATTCCAAAAAAGCGATTTTTTCTTCATTTCATGAAAGAAAGGAAGTCAAATAGTCAATATATACTTTCCTTTTCTCCCATTAAGGAAAAGGGCTTATACGCGTCTGATGATACATTGTTATTCCATCTTCTCTACTGCATCCATCATTGTTTATTACAAATTACATGGCACGATACAAATTAAATCAGGTTAATTAATCAAACAGTCGTATAACCATTTGCACTTAATTATAGCTTATATTGTAATTAAAAATTTCGTTCTCCTTAATTATTAATTATGGCTGATCAAGGCAGTCGGGAGGAGGCGTGGGAAATCTAGACTTATCAGTGCAGTAATCATAATTAATATACGTCTTTCTGACGTATTGATAGGCTCTTTGTTGCTCCGAATCCAACTTATGATATTTCTCCGTGTTCCAAAAGTATTTGTTTGAGTAACAATCTCCAACGTTTGAATTCTGTAGGGAACATCCGTTGACGTCAAATCCTAGGAAGTGAGCCTTAAAAGGTGCATAGCTCCAGTCAATCTTTGTTTGGCCACCATCTGTTGCCCAACTATCTCCATTCCACAAGCTTGCTTCTATTGTCATAGGCTTTGATGGGTAATCCACTCCAAGGCTTGCTTCATTGTTCTTGAACACCCTAATCGGAGTGTTGTCCACCAAAAATCTAAACATAAAATTGAAGATGTAGTTATCAAACCGTAAAAGGAATGTAACAAAAAAAAAAAAAATAGAATGATCTATATGGGCAAGTAAATGGTATAGTGATAATTAAACAATCCAATTTCCTTCTTAGAGTTTAACAAATTATGGAATTTGAATTTTATCAATTTAATTAATATTATAATGTCTTTTTATATGACAAATTAATTATTAGCTTACAACATGTGAACAGAGCTGTAAATATGGAGTATCCATCGTAATTGGGTCTAGTAGCATGGTTGCACGAGCCGGCCCTTATAACCCGCATTTTTTATTTTTATTTTTTGGAATATTTTTTAATGTATTTTTAAATTTAATCAATCAGAAATTCTTTTTGTTTTTATTCATCTGTAAGTACCCTCAACAATTCTACAAACTCTACACAACTCTCTCAATTCTCAAATTATGCACTCACATTATGAGATTTTTACACGTTGATTAAGATTTCTTTTTCTTTTTTCTTTTACCAGACACGTGACTTGCACGTGCCAATTTCTTTAGTTTTTTAATTGCCATTTGTGAAATGGGGTTAATTGCAATAGTACTTAAGCAAGCTAAGGGAGTTAATTGCTAAAATTAAAAATTTAGATGGTAATTTACTAAATCTTGACAAATTTAGAAAGTAATTGTGCTAACAACTCATTAATCCTCGTCTTCAACTCTCCCAAAATCTCCCTAAAGATCTCTTAAGTTTCTTAACAAGACACAATAATATACTCCCATTATTAAGTTTGTGAATAAACACAAGATGAGAAGTGAAAGGAAACCAATCCTCTTTACATATATATATGTGTAATCATGAGCACATAGGATCATGTTTAACTGTTACGGGCTGACGTGCTATTTTTGAGACATAGGAGCCACAGACTCTAAGTTGCAATTTCTAGTCAGCTAAACAAACAATTTGATGTTAAATAACATTTCTTTCTATAAATATTGATACGCTAAGTAGAGAGATTGCATTTACACAATTTGGTAATGGTTCCAAAGAATTGTGTAGTTATAAAAATCAGCTGTGGGATCAAACCAAAGAAGGGTTCTTTGCTCTCTGTTGCCTAGACCGTTTGCAAACACGTTTGTTTGTAAAGTGTATGGCTTTCCTTCTCTGTTACCCAAGAACTCGAAGTCCAGCTCGTCATGTTTGTCACCGTGTGAAGTTAGCTGCGCATATAAATATATATATATATATATATATATATATATATATAAAGAAACTATATATAAAGTACTGAATTTAACACTTTAGCATCCTTATATAATTATGATGGTATATATCTGGTTTTGATGGGAAACATTGTGGAGATAGAATAAATAAAAGAGACAAACAAAGGAAAGAATAATATTCACGTAAAAAGCAGTAACGACTCCAGCAGAATCTCTGTCAGGTAATTTGATCTTCAAACTAAAGAATCCTGAGCCGTAATTTAGTTTTGATGCAAACCCAGCACCTGCATTTTGCAAAATTAGTTCGAACTAATTATAATATATAGAACAGATAAAAGAGCTAAATCCTAATTATAATTATCTGCACTACTATAAAGAACAATTTTTTTTTTTTCTAAAGTCATTATAATTCAAGTTATGACCTTCCTGGAGGCGCGTGAGTACTGAAGGAGCTCATGTCTTTCTTTTCTCTTCTTGTTATGAAATTATGAATGGATGTTTAGTGAAAGTATGAACTTTTAAGAAAAAATGACACATATGCATGGAGCTACTAAACTGAAAAGTCGCATTTTTTGTTTTGTTTGGATTGATGTGCATAAAAAGATTTGTGTGTGTGTGTGTGTGTAAACCAATTATACGCCATATTAATTTGTAAGTGATTATATTGATATCTATATATCCAAATCAAAACCAAATGTGTTTCATAATCCATATTATCCGGCATTTCATTATCAAATTTATAGGACATAAGTCGTTGACCTTATAACAAAAAGATATAAACGTAAAAAGTAAAATAAACCTGAGTCCCGTATATATATATATATATATAAACATAAGAATATACGATGTTAGATTACTCTCACTTAACAAATTATCCTATTAAGATGAAAGTTTAAGTTCTTATAAAGTTTAATTCTATTAATAGAAAGGTTTGTCATTTTCAAAAGTAATCTGAGACTCAAGGGTTTTAATGAGTCCCAAAACACACTAAACACATGCATAAGGGTTCTAACTGGTGGAGTTCTATAAAATCTATATGGAGTAAAACGATTTTCATAGCCACACAAATGAAAAACAAATTATTCTAAAAAACGTTGCAGGGGAACCATAAAACGTATATAATTAACGCATGCAAAAAGAAGAAGGTGCTAATAACCCGAAGAGTTATCCATGGAAAGTTGAATTTCTCTCCCTTGGTTCAGAGACAAGACATGATCAAATCCCCACGTGACTTGATAATTTTGATCAAAAGTACTAATGTCGGTGTTTTTACTTGCAATCAGCCCCCAACCACCTATGACGAAGAACACAAAGAACATGTCCAACGCTGATAAAGCCATTCTTATAGGCCCAACTCTTTAGTACTATACGTATTTATCTTTCTCTAGTAGTTGGACTCACTCGCACCTATATTATATTAATCAGATACAAATGCTACCACCATATAATATCTTATCATATATATACATATATAAACAAATTTATATGTGCATACATAAATATTTTTTGATCGATAGGGTTGATCCACTTATAGATCATAATATTACCTCTTTTAGAAAACACTGGTAGTCGATCCACCTGTGAATTTTGCATTCTATTTCTGTATGTTTTCTTATAGGAAAAAAAATGACAGACGTCATGTATGTTAGTGTTGCTGAAGACCTTAAAAGGCAAAATGTGTGAGCTGCCAACATTTCATCTTTACCTTACCCACACGTTATTGATGTGTCTCGCCACATTGTCCACCATAACTAACCGCATCTTTAGATAAATTAAATAGCGGTGTTTGGAATAAACCTTTGAAGAATTCGGCTGCCAATTAAACTTATTGTGTGGGAAAATATGGGTGATATGTGGAACAGCGACAACGTGATACGTGGCCTTATTTTTTCTCAAAAGGCGACAACCCTCGACACTTGAAGCTCGCTTCCCCTTTACGCTGCAAAGAAAGCCTGACTTAGGGCATCGACCCGGCATACCATCGACCAGTCGTGCCGTCAATCTTATCGCAACAAAATTCCTATGTCTGGAAAGGGTCGACTGCCAGGAAGGACATGCGGTCTACGCAGCGCAGACGACGAGGGGAATACTCTTCAGAAAGGAGCCTAATATCACAAGTTGCGTCTAGGGATGGGAGATATCTGTAGTACAGGCATTAATTGCAAACCCCTAAACCGCCCTACAGTGGGCAGTGAAGGATTACAAGAATCTATAGAGCCGTAATGAAAGACCAATTGGCTGAGTGAACAGTTCAAAAGGTAATTAGTGGGCTACGGTCTGGGCCTAGAGAGGTAGGTCACTCGAGTACTTCTACCTACAAAGGAGAACTGCCCACGAAGGAACCTTGAGCTATAAAAGGGGCAAAGCCCCATACACGAAGGAGGACTGGCTTCTTTAGTATTCAATCAGAGGAAGAAGAACCATATATGTAAATTGTAAGAGTCCAAAAAGAAATACAATACACAAGTGGATGTAGCTCTTCATTAACAGAGTGAACCACTATAAATTTCGTGTGTCCTCTCATTCAAGCATTCTTTCTCGTGCTTCCAAAAATACAACAAACACTTCATAGCATAATTTTAAATATACAGTTAATTTTCAACCGGTAACCCAACAAGATACCAGTGGGTAACCTAGCGTATTTCTGACGAAAATTAGCCGTCAACAAAACACAAATTTATCAAAAGTTTGATTAGAGAAAGCTTCGTTTCTACATATTAATATATAGATAACTTTTCCCTTAAAAAAAAACATATGGATAACTTCAATATCATGAGTACAAGAAAGAAACTCCTTTATATATGTTATTGTACTGTATCTGACATTCAAATTGTGGTCTGAAAGGAGAGTGCCAAATTGAGGACTCCGTCCAAAAAGTACAGGCTCGGAAAAAACTAGGTTATGCTCTTGAACATAATGTCATTTATTAATTATTTGATTTTTGGTAATTAGATTTACTAAAGGGTGAATTAATTACCCAAATGGTTGTTATCGATGAAAATCGATTAAGGGTTTCTGACTTTCCAAAGTAAACATCGACCACTTGACATAAATTAAGTCCAAGGAATTTTCATTTTTATATCAAGGGTACGGGAGATGAACACCTTCTTTATATGCATGAGGTTTGATCACATATAATAATGCAATTGTAGCTTACATACAATTTATATTTGAGATTCTGACAGGTGATAGATCTATTACGTAAACTACTGCTTGTACGCAACTTTGGTGTTGGTTCTAAGGGCTGTTCTGATCTCTCTCTCTCTCTCTCTCTCTCTCTCTCTCTCTCTCTCTCTCTCTCTCTCGCTGAATGAAAAACAACCACTGACAAAATATATATATATATAGGCCAAAATATTAAAGGAGTTTTAATTACATATGCTATTACAATAACTCTGCTAGAGTCCTTATCTTCTTGAGTGCGTGTTTTAGTACTTCAAGTTATAAACTGCACACTGATATTCCTGTAACCAAACACGAATTATAGAATGAGCTAGCTACTTCAATTCATAATATTTGAATTACCTTGAGAATTATCCAGGGCTAGCTAAGGTGGATTTTTTCTTTCCATCGTCGAAAAAAGCTGACACGACGGTTCTCCATTTTTAAGTTATAAAGTTCTTCAAATTAATCTAACGTACTCCAGTTTTACTTGCCCACATAGCCAGAAGGAGGGCAAAAATAAGTAAGAACAACCAAAAGTAGTTAAGCGGGTCATTAATTAGTCTATAGTTGTGATCGAATGTTCACAACTACAGCCGTTCAATGGCTTTTCCGATTGCTATTCCGGTTGTTGTTTCTGTGGACTTTATCCCCTCCGTTTGTATTTCTAGCCCTTTTGTGGCTTTTTTAATATTATGTCTCCTTTAACAAAAAAATAAAAATAAAAAGATCAAACGATCAACCAAAACAGTATAATAAGTGATTAAATTCTCGTCATTTCATGTGGCATATGTTGAGTCGATAGTAAAAAAAAATCAAAAATATTAAAGGAAAAAAAAATCAACTTCAGAGTAGTTGCAGTACCTCAACTCCCTAAGCTAGCTAGTTAATGGAGTTAGTTTAGGAAACACCAGCTAGCTTAGGGGGCGTTACATTGTGCATTAACATACAACTAATTGGAGATTACCATTACCTTAATCTAAGCCTTTTGTGGGATGCAATGAATGCAAAAAGAACGCATATAATACTACTAACAGAATGGAACACCTGCGCGCGAAATTAAACCTGACTAACATTTCTACATTAGAAAGATTTATTGATCTAATGAAAAAGGTTCAACTGCATAGAAATTTAAATTAGACCAAACCTTTGAGAAGAGATCTTTCCAAAGAGAATGCCAAAATGAGAACTGATGAGGTGAATCACGCTTTAAATGCCGAAAATAGGTTTGCAGGTGAATCATGTTAATAACAGCAAACCGGAAGCACATTTCAAGCACTTTATAGATGGCATTGAACAAAGCCCTCACATAATTTGCCAACAGAAGACAACCTCGTATAGAAAATAGGAACAATTTCCACAAGGAACTTAGATAGATACTGAATTCAATAGATTCCAATACGATAGATACTAGTCATGGAAGTAACTAAGACAGAAAATTAGAACTGGTTCTTTATGTACCTAAATTCAATAGATGTGAAGAGAACTTTCAAAGGCAGGATAAAAACATCAAACAAGAAGCTAACCACGCCGCAAAAGAACTCCAACATAGCCGATCGAATATTGTGAAATTCCTTTGCTGCAACAGTAAATAAGCTCCACAACGGCATCAAACAGTTTACCATCTTTTTAACCGGGTACATCAGAGGTTTGGTGATCAGTGAGACTAGCAGTTTAATCGCTCGCGTTATCGATAAGAACACCTTCACTGCCTTTCCAAGATTCTGAAGGAACAACATTGTCCCCAGACATTTGATCCTTGAGATCATGTCCCACGATTCAATCCAGTTGAAAAGGGGTCCACAAAGATGAGAAACAGTTGCCTTCAATAGAGGCACGTTCTTGGAAAGATCATAGAACCCGATTATGACAGTTACAAGAGAGACTAATATATAAAGAATTCTATACAGTGGTCTCATCCATGGACGATATAGTGCAGAGAATAGTGGATAAGATTGGAGAAAAATAACCCAACTGGGAAGATTCGACTCGAGTAAAGTAAGAAGCTTCAAATTTGGGGTGATTATATCTATGTTAATTCAGATGGAAGATCTTTATCATTGAACCTGAACAGCAAAAGATTGTCCTTGTACCCCTTTGGTCCAATATTATGATTATCAGCTTCCACATTTTGTTCTTCTTCTAGCTGATGATCCATGTAAATTGTATCATTTTCATCGAAATACATCTCGTTGGCATCAAAGAATTCGTCTTCTGAGAAAAGCTCATCATCTTGGGATGCGTCATTCAGGAGAGGGCAACTAGGAGGAGTTATTTTCTCTGTAGAAGGAGAAAGAACTTGCTCCTGCAAATGGATTAGGTTGGTCCTTAATGTTTGTGTTTCGGATAGAGGGCAATGATCATGTCGTTTTTGGTGCTCTTCCCAACGTTTTGGTTTAGTTACAATTCAACCATCAAATATCTCCACAGTTGGCTTTTGTTTTTATCTACCACATATTCATCCTTATCTAATTGTCCTTTCTTACCATTGTAAGTAGTGGAAAAACATTCCCTTGTAGAATATTCTCATTATTGATTCCTAGGCCAACCTGTCACAATAACAACTATATTGTTCTAGATTGTTCCTTGCTCTGCTATAAAAAGAGCACTCTTGTACATTATAAACTTGAGCAGAATTAATACAAATTACTCTTTTCAGAAAAGCCTATTTCAGCTTTCTTGGTATCAGAGCTTCTCTGCTCCGAGCTCCCTTCAATGGCAAATCCTAACCCAGAAAACCCAATCGTCAATCCTCCTGACCCTGTTGAGCAGCAAGCTGCTATTCCTTAACCTCAAGTCCCCAATCTGCAGCCTCAAGTTGAAAACCCCCTTGTTCCAGCTAATCTTAATCATTTTCAAGTTATCCAACCCCAAAATCAAACCATTTCAGTTCGCCTGACATACACTAAGTATCTTATATGGCGACTGCAAGTGTTGGCTACAGTCCGTGGTTATGGTCTTGAGGGCTTTCTCCTCGGCACTTACCCAGCCCCACCGGAGTTTCTCGTTGGACCTGATGACGTGCCTGTTCAAAACCCTGCCTTTGTTCTGTGGCAGCGCCAAGATCAACTTTTAGCCTCATGGTTGCTCTCTTCTATTACTGAAAGCGTCTTGGTCAACATGGTTGGGAATGATTCTGCTAGTGAACTCTGGAACTCTCTTACGTTGACATTCACTA